CTTGCCAGGGAAGCACTTATTCCACTGAGCCATCTCCCCGGCTATCACACTATTTATGCCAACCCTTTAGGAGGGAGTAAAACACAAACCACTGACCAACACTTGGTTTCTTGTGTGATGACACCACTGCTGCACTAGTTATCAACATCTATGCCACCTTTCCTTTTGTTGTAGAAAGTTACCCTCTCCAGCTTCGGTTTCGTCAAGATTCCCCTATTATTTCCATCAAGGTGCAATGGTCACATCAGCAGTACCAATTTGTTTTTCTTTGCCATATATGAGCCATCATTCTGAAATCTAAAGACTGTACTATGCAATTGTTTTGAAATTGCAACATTTCAATTCTTCTTTATTCCTATGTATAGTTTCTGTACTAGTCAATTATACTGTTAGCAAATGTAACATTAATTGGAAACAATCAAGTGATTGCAATTACTTTGGGAAACAGGAGCAACAAATCCATTCAAACGATTTGGTCTACTACTATATAAGGACTGTGTCCAGAATAAATTTCTAAATTCAAAATATAGTAAGCCTTCTCATCCACAAGGGCATACATTTTTATGCTGTATCTTGAAGGTTTTGGGTATATACTATACCTGAAGCTATAATGACCATGAAATGCTGCAAGACGTTAACAGTCATGTGTCAAATTGCTTGGTAATTATCCATCAATCTTCTAAACCTTGACCAGATGGCTGCCAGATTATTAGCTCTTTTGCTCTCAGCAGCGGTTTTGTTATCAAACAATTTTTAAGGAAATCAAATCTCCTTAGTCCAGTTATCCTACAAACCTCAAGCCCATACTCAGCACTTTTCCATCTTTGACATTCCTACAATTACCAATGGAAAGCTCTGCTAAGTACAGCAGACCTGTGAATGCTTTCAGTTCACCTAGTAAGGTGAATATGGCTACCAGAGCACAATGTTTTGCTTGTATTTCACCATGCACATATTCCACATCTTGTAGCATTTTGTGTTGCAAACAACTTCCAACACTGAATGTCGGTGCTTGCATTCCACCCAATAGGTATCACCCCTGCCAAGCTCCTATTTTTAGATTAAGTTCTTGACCATTTTGTACCACTTCTACTAGTCAAGCATATACTCATATTGCTGATTTGTCATCTAAAAAATAGAGCTCTCTTGGGGCTGATGAGATGGCTCAGTGGTCTGAAGCACCTACTTAGAACAAGCTTAGCGAAGCCAGCCCCGCCCCCTGGTGGGCTGAGCTGGCCACACACACACACACACACACACACACACAAATAAAAAAATTTTAAAGAAAGAGCTCTGTATTCCGTTTTGTTTTTTTTGTTTTTTTTCCTTTAGCGGAACTGGAGATTGAACTCAGACCCTTGAGCTTGCCAGGGAAGCGCTTATTCTACTGAGCCATCTCCCCCGCCCTAGTTTCTTTCTTTTGAGACAGGTTCTCAATATGCAGTTCAGGCTGGCCCTGAACTCACAATGATCCTCCTGCCTCAGCTTCCCAACTGCTGGAATAACAGATGTGTCACCACACCCAGCTTTATCCAGCTTTATTAGTTGATTCTTTCTCCATTTCACTGTCACAGGAACTTTGGGTCACATGGTCAACACCAGTCACTATCATCTTAATCATCCATGCATGATCTGATGATTACAATCTCCAAAACTTGCAAATCTGGTTTTTCATGTACCATTGTACTGAACTGGGATGTTTCTACCAGTAAAAAAAAAAAAAAAAATCCTAACCACAGAGATCAATGAGCATTTCATGGCTAACGCTTACCTGTTATTGCTCTGAATCTCCTGTAGACACCTTGCTCTTCATCTGCCAAGTAGGTGAATGCACAGGTGTTTTTACTTTCATCAGGTGCAGCTGTGAGTCATACATATCCAGATACCATTATGGTAAAATACATTTAGTCAACACAAGAATGGTATGGGTATATTTTACCCCGTGATGCTCAGGTAACCACGTAAAAAACTGGAAAAAATTCCAGTCTTGACACTTGCACATACCTTGCAGTTCACAGCACCAAGTGGATAAACACAAAGATTACTTCCTATTATCTTCTAGGTGCAGCTAATGAAACACATAGCTAGCTGCCGTCATGCTAAAATACAAGATTTTTTTTTTTTTTTTTCCCTGAACCAGGGATTGAACTCAGGCCCATGTGCTTGCCAGGGAAGCGCTTATTCTGAGCCATCTCCCTGGCCCCTAAAAGTACAAGTACACAAGAGAAAAGTTTAGGACGGGTTGTTGTAACCCAGTATTGTTTCACTTAGATTTATCCACATGTGTTCCCAGCTTCTGGATTATTTCCACTTAAGAGCTGTGTGAGGGCACTGGTACCGCTCCATCAAAAGTTTTGGATATGACATATGTTGGATCTCACAGGTACCAACCTGGTCAAAGCACTATAGCTGCCTGTACAAACAGATTCTGCATCACAGGACACAAAAACTGCAAGGTATGTGCAAGTGTCAAGACTGGAATTTTATCAATAAAACTGTAGGAAAAAAAAAAAAAAAAGAAAAAAAAAAGACTGGAATTTTTACCCACATAATGCTCATCTAATAGGTTTTACCTATGGTTACTTGAGCATCACAGGGGATAAAATATACCCATACCACTCTTGTGTTGACGGGGCTATGTCTTGGGTCTGGTTTAGAAGGAATTCCCCTCCACCAGCAGCCACGATCCTATCCCTGAAACCAGAACAGCTTTTCTGTTTGAGATAAAGTCTTGCTATGCAGTTCAGGCTGGCCTTGAACTCACTTTGTAGATCAAGTTGGCCTTGAACTCACAATCCTCCTGCGTCTGCCTCCCAAGTGCTGGGTTTACAGGTGTGCACCACAAGAGTAGCTTTTTAAGATACCCAGGGCCTGGGAAGATGGCTCAGTAGAATAAGCGCTTGCCTGGCAGGTGCAAGAACCTGAGTTCAATCCCCGGTTCCACAAAAAAAAGAAAAAAAAAAAAAAAAAAAGATACCCATAATCTACAGTGTATATGAAATTTTCCAAGAATGTATGCAAGCTGGACATATTGGCGTATGCCTGTAACCCTAGCACTCAGGAGGCTGAGGCAGGATTACAGCAAGTTGGATGCTAGCCTGGGCTACATAGTAGGTCTACGGCCAGCCCAAACTATACAGACCATCTCAACAACAAAAAGAGAGTGCATGGGAGCATGGTACACACCTCTCATCCTATCTACTTGAGAGGCTGAGATCAGAGGTGAGGCCAAATTGGCAACTCAGCAGCACCTTGTCTCAAAATAAAACTAAAGACAAAGCACAGTAATCTCAGACACAAGGTCAGATCTGTAGTTTTAGTTCCCCAAGATGGTGTGCTGGCAGCACCAAACATCTTTCGTTCCCACTCCGTGCCTCCTTTATCCCCAGATTCACTCTCACTCTTTTGGTCACATGCTACTATGTCACAGGGCTTGAGGTCATTTTATTTTATTTTATTTTTTTTAATTTTACTTATTTGTGTGTGTGTGTGTGTGTGTGTGTGTGTGTGTGTGTGGCCAGCTCAGCCCACCAGGGGGCGGGGCTGGCTGGCATGTGGTGCTGGGGGATTGAACCGCGGTCCCTGTGATTTGCTAAGCTTGTTCTAAATAGGTGCTTTAGACCACTGAGCCATCTCACCAGCCCCTTGAGGTCATTTTAGGTGCACATGTTAATTCATCATTTTGGTGTGCTTGTTAAATTTAGGACAGGGACCAGGAAAAAACACCTCTAACACATCACACACAAAGGTTTCCTCAGTGTTTCTCAGTAACTTTCAGTAAATAAGGGGGCCAGTTTATGCTACCCAGACAGACTGGGAGCCTCTCTACAGAACTGTACAGCCCCTGAATGTTTTGTGACACCACTTAAAAGTCAAAAAGGAAGTATCACACAACTGTTGTTATAAAAATTTATCAAAAAATTCATGAGTTTGTTAGAGACTTGATTTAGCAAGGCAAAAGATGACTTAAAAATTTAAACAATGTAAATTTTTTTTCACTGACCAAGCAAAACCTAAATTAATCTAGGTGAGCATTTCTGTATCAGAAAAGTTGATTTCCAAGCTGTACTCTTTGCTCACTGCTTTGCAACCCTAGAACCAAAGTGCCCTCCAGATGGCTCCTCTGCAAGCCAGCAAGTGACATCCTGGCAAGCCAGGTACACCATAGCAAGATCTTTGATACAGAACTGGACCATACAATTCAGTGCCCAACAAGGATACTGGGGTGGGAGTGGAGGGCTGCTGCTGAACACACCCAAGGCCTTACATATACTAGGCAGGTGCTCCACCTTTGAGCCACACCCAGCCCCAGAACGTTTTTGAAAGTAAAACTGTCTTACCGCTCTAAAAGGCATAAAAATGAGACCTGGTGGGTATGGTGGTTAGCAACTATAGTCCCAGCTACTCCAGAGGCTGAGGAGGGAGGACTAGTTGAGCCTAGGAAGTCAAGGCCAGATTGGGCAACACACCCTCCCTCTCCAAGATGGAAAGGGCCACCCCAGTGGTAAGGCAGCTGGGAAACCATATTCCCCAGTATGCCCTGATGCTTGGCTGGCACAAAGCACCCAGGGATCCATGGTTAGCACCATTTGTGAGGTAAATAGTCCAGGGCAGGGTTCAACACAAAGACTTTGCTTTCTATAGGACACTTAACCAGACATGGAACACAAGAGCAAGATGAAATTGCAATGGCTATTGAGTCTGGGTGGAGCCTTTCTCCCCAACAATTCCAGCTTCCCCAGGTATGCTTGGTATGTGTATGGGGCTGCTGCCCATTCTCCTGGGTGCTGCCTTCTGCTGCTCCACAGTTGCTAGTTTTTCAGGGGATTCTGGGCCAGGTGCTGTTCCCATTCGACTTCAACCAACTTGTACAGCTCCATGGTGGCCTGGGCATCTTCTACAGAGGAGTGTCCACCTTTTCCAGCCTGAACAGGGAGGAAGAGAAAACTTGAATCCACAACTTTTCCCTTGATGATGATTATTTTGGTACCAGGGATCAAACTCAGAACCCTGTGCTTACGAGGCAGGGACTTACGCCACTGAGCTATCTCCCTGGCCCAGAACTTTTCTCTTTCCAAACAACACTACTCCTTCACCCTGTCATACCACAGTGTTTCTTTTGCAGTCAGTGGGCTCTGGAGACAGAACTCTGTTTGGCTCCATTCCTCATCTAATTCCAGGGCTCTGACTCCTAAGCCTTTGCTTCCTTCTTGACTCTCCACCTTCCTAACAGGCACTCCCTTTCTGAGCAGAGCATGCGCTATGTCCACGTGGTCCTTAAACCACTGTGTTCTTTTAGGTTACCCCAACTCCCTTTCCTTTTTCTTGTTATTCTTCCTGTTCTTTTCTTTCTTTCTTTCTTTCTTTTTTTTTTTTTTTTTTTTTTTGGAGACAAGGTATTGCAATATAATTCAGGCTCATCTTGAGCTATGTGTCCCAGGCTGGCCTAAAAATCAGTGATTACCCCTGTCTCAATCTCCTGAGTGCTGGAATTACAGACATGTACCAGCATGCCTGGCTTTCTTTCCTTCAGGGATTTATATCCATTTTGGGTTACTTTTTCTTTCCCAAAGCACTATTTGGAATGTTCTGTGAGGAAGAGCAAAGCACTCACTATTCCTTGACACAGACAGACTCCTGGGCCCCTAAGCCAAAAGCTGTGTTCACCAGACCCACCCGTATGGTGCTGTATAGCCAAAAGACTTCTGGATCAGTGCCTGGGGAGGTGGCAGGAAATACCCATGTGTCATGGGGGTGTGGGGGGTGACACTCCGGGAGACGCTACCTGGATGTCCCGGCTCAGCAGCTTCTTGGTGAGCGTCTTAAGAGATACAGTGGCGTTCTCTGGGCAGCCAGCCTTGCGGTTGAGAAGGGGGATTTGGGAAGTGTCTCTGGTAAGGGGCTTGGGGTGAAAGTACTGCAGGGCTTTGAAGTCATTATGGATGGCATGTCCTACCACGATCTTCCCGGCAAGGATCTTCAAAATCTGGAAGAGGTAAGGGAGAGGTGAGAAGCCAGACTCAGACGTGGACTCATGGATACAAGAAGCACCCCATGGCCATCAGTACCCTCTGGTTTCTCTGTACCAAACACCTACCTGCCTCATCCTTGAAATACCTACCCTCTTTTAACAAGTTTTGTTTGAAATCTACTTCCTCTTTCTAAGGTAGAAGTAGATAATTTCCATGTGCAAATTTATTACTTGGATCTACACTGGCAATAGCTTATTTTCTTTTTATTTTTTGTAGTGCTGGGGAAATTGAACCCAGGGAGCATTCAGCTACACCCTTAGACTTCCAAAACTTTGAGACAGGGGCCGGGGAGATGGCTCAGTAGAATAAGCACTTTCCTGGCAAATGCAAGGGTCTGAGTTTAATCCCCGGTTCCGCAAAATTAAAAAAAAAAAAAAAATGAGACAGAACCAGGTGTGGTGGCACATTCCTATAATTCCAGCACTCAGGAGGCTGAGGCTGAGGCAAGAGGATCACTGTGAGTTCAAGGCCAGCCCAGGCTACATAGTGAGTCTGCACTACATAGTGAGACCCTATCTCAAAAAACAAAAAATTTGAGACAGGGTCTAAGTTGCCCAGACTGCCTTCGAACTTGCAGTCCTACTGCCTCAGCTTCCTGAATACCTGAGATTATACGTGAGTGCCACAATGCCCAGCTGCTCCTTGTTACATCAGATATTATCACATATTAATTCATTATTATATATTAATATATTTTATATATATTGTCATATTATTAACTTCTATCCCAATGATGGCTTAATTTTTCTTTTGCCCTAAATTGAACTTGCACTTAAGATGTTCATGTAACAAGCAGACATGATGGGGCCTTCGAGATAGCTCAGCAGACTCAACAGCTGTGTAGGTTAAGTGCAGGGACCGGGGTTCGATCCGTAGTACTGCATGCTATACTGGCCCTGCCCCCAAGTGAGCTGAGCTGGCCACTGAGATGTGGTGGCACATGCCTGTAATCCCAGCACTGAGGAGGCTGAAAATAGGAGGATCACTATGAGTCTAAGCTTCATAGTAAGACCCTGTACCAAATACATAAATTAAAAAATAAAAAAAGAATTGGTGGCACACTCTTGCAATTCCAGCACTCAGGAAGCTGAAGGATTGTGAGTTCAGGGCAAGCCCTTATCTAAAAACAAAAAAGATGCTCATGTAATTACCTAGTTCAGTTCTGACTTGCATCTTTAAGTCCTTTATCATCATGCTAGCCTTAGACATGTGCCTGGAATCTATGAGATCAAGGATGGGTTCCTATGAAATACACCTAGATGTGTGCAGTTAATTTTGGGGGAAGACAACCTATGGTTTTCAGCAGACCCTCAAAGAACTAAAAACCATAAAAGATCAAGTCACTTAAAGATTAAAGCTGCAGAGGGGATTTTCCACAAGTCTTAGAGGCAAATAATAGCTCACCATTTCAGGATCGTACTGCATGAGGACAACCTGTGAGTTCAAATAATACATCACGGGCTCCAAGGCTGTTCCCCAAATGGTGTTCCTAAAAGGCTATACAGAAAGTTACAGCACTGTATGGCCTTCCAATGGGATGCCCTCAAAGAAATCAGGTTCATTTGGACATACCTATTTCATAATCCCAACCTGAGTTGGGTCAAGTGCCTTATGTTGAAAACTAGCTGTATACCAACCAACCAAAGTATTCATCTCTTGACCTGATCTGAAGTTTACAGTCCATCAATACCTTGATTCTACAAGATTCAATTTCTGCCCCAAGGCAATCTGCTGTCTCAAACCCATCCCATCTTCTGCCTCTCCAAGCTGCCCTCTGTGCTCAGTAAATTCTTCCACTCCCCTCTGATGAACAGCCTCCAACAGCCTGGCCTGGCCTATTCCCAATGGCTGAAACAGAGACTCCAGAAAATCGTGCTGAGCTAAATTGCAAAGGCATGGACCAAAGGCGCCCTCTGTTGGCCTCCCAAAGCCAGCAGGCTCTTGCTCTCCTTTTCCTCTCTTCCCCTTTAACAGTCGGCGTTTGTCTCTTTTTCACTTGTTATCCTCCCAAAATCCAGCAGAGGGCTACAAAGAATAAGTTAGCTCAGTAAGAAGAGATTCCTGACCTACCCAGTCCTTTGTATTCTATGTCCCTCCCTACAGGTCACTTCCCAGGTACACAACCGCACTTCAGCTCTATCCACTTTAGGAGCTACTTGTCCCAGGCTAATTTTTGTTTGAGAAGCACCCTTCCACCTCCCTTCTCTCAATCCCAGCTTCTCATTGTTAAGGCAGTATGGTGAACCTTTTCAGAGCTTTCAATAATATAAACAGCCCGCTGTGGCACACATGCCATAGATTCACCACCACTGCTATAAGGTATTTCCAAGTGAAGCCCTTTCTCAACCCTCATGCATGCATTCTCCTAGTTTTATCACTGGCTCTTGTTTCTCTATACATACTGCTATTCTGCAGATCAATCCCATTAAATTTTTTTTTTTAATAATTTGTGTGTGTGTGTGTGTGTGTGTGTGTGGCCAGCTCAGCCCCACCAGGGGGCGGGCTGGCTGGCATGTGGTGCTGGGGGATTGAACCGCGGTCCCTGTGCTTTGCTAAGCTTGTTGTAAATAGGTGCTTTAGACCACTGAGCCATCTCACCAGCCCCGATCCCATTAAATTTCAAAATGTCTTCTTTCTTTCTTTCTTTCTTTCTTTCTTTCTTTCTTTCTTTCTAAGACAAGCTCACACTATGTAGCTCAGGTTGGCCTTGATCTCACTATGTAGCCAGGCTGGTCTCGAACTCTCAGTGATCCCCCTGCCCCAGGCTCCTTGAATAAAGAGATTACAGGTACATAACACCATGACATACATTCTCACCACTCTTTACCCCAACAGGAGACCTTAACCAACTGATATTCTGCTGACACCTTTCCTGGATGACACCCAGTGCTGGGAAGAGGCTCTCCATCCAACTGTCACTGTCATCATCATGCCCCATACTCCTTACCTGGCTCCGAGCAGTCTTGAAGGGTGTAGCCTTCACCATGTGCTGCTTACGGATACCACTCCACCTGGTCCGGTAGTCCACAATGGGGCACGGGGGAAGGACATACTCATCATAAAGCACATCACCATCATAGTTGACAATGCTACACCTAGCCAAGGAACTAACGTGCCCCTTGGGGCCTGTGCCCACCATCTCACAGTCAACTGCCACCATTTTCCCTGGTTTCCGTGAAGCTCCAGAGCATGCACTCTCTGCGTGGGCCTGGGTGGAACTGTGTGTGGCACCATTCTCTGAGGGTTTCTTCTGATGGAGCTTCTTCTGGGAGCGAGCTGGAGGGCTCTTAATCTTTGGAAGGGCACTCTGGAACTCCCCCAGCAAATCTACACTACCCACAACAGACTCAGTCTTCTTTGAAGGAGCAGGGGTCAGCCAAGACACTGTAGCTTTCTTATCCAAAGACTGCTCTGACCTGCTGCTGGAGACAGCAGTCTTTTTTTTTCGGAGAAGAGTGGTCTTCCCAGGGCCATCAACTCTCAGAGTTTCCCCTTTCTTTGTAGGTTCTGAGTGTGGGTTAGGTACCTTACTAGGACGTTGGGTTTTTTTGTTGAGAAAGCCCTTCTGTTCCAAGAACCTTCGCCTCTTGACAAAGCGTTTATGCTTGGCATTTCCTTCTAATGACTTTTTGAGAGAAGATTCAGCAAAATCCAGATTCAGGAGTAAGGTAGACATGAGGACTGCAAACAGTGGGAGTGCAGTTGGGAAGAGTGGCTCACGGATGACAGGAGAATAAAGTTCTCATTCTCTACTGAGTCTCATTGTCTAACAGATGAAGGTCTGCAGAAAACCCTGAGAAGAAAAGTGATCCTAGTAACTGTACCCATAGCCCTAGGGGAAAATGAGATAAGATCCATTTCTGTAGGATTTAAGACAAGAAAGATATCAGAACAACCTGCCTGAAATGAAATGATGGCCCACATTCAAGGGTAAAACAAAATCTGGATTTCAGCAAAGCCCCACAATTCAATGACTTAAGAAAGTCATTCTCCTTTCTGGGCCTCAGTCTCAATTATAAAAGGCGCTGTGGATGGGGATATACTTCAGTAGGAGATTGTGTTCAGCATGAGTGGGGACTCAGGTTCCATCACCAATAGAGCCAGGTGTAGTGGCACATGCCTAGAATCCCAGCACTCTGGGAAACAAGGTGAATTATAAGTTCAAAGCCAGCCTAGCAAAACACTGTCTTTTAAAATCTTTCACATAATTTTATTTTCTCCCTTCAACCATAATAATATGATATCCAAATGATATCCAAACTTCGTCTTAATTGGTGGATCTGTAAACACAGGTTTATCCATTCCACTCACAGGCAAGGCAAATGCTGCTTCTTGAAATGGCCCTACCATGGAGCCTCTGGTCAACCAACCCATCACCCCCTTGCCTGGCTTTATCTTCACTATACTGTGCAGCCATTTCACTGAATCTCATCCCAGGCTTTAACCTTTCATGGCTTCCACAACACAAGCTGTGTTTTTCACATAGAATGTGTCGGACTTTTACTACATTGCCACCACCTTCGGGGCCCTTAAGCCTTCTTGTCAACACTATCACTCCCAGAGGCTGCTCCTTGTTTCCTCCCTTTTCTAGAACCACTTTTTCCTTTGGGCGGCATCTTCAAAATTCAGCCAAAACACTGTCTTAAAAAAATGGTGGGGGGAGGCTGGGGCAGCAGGACAGTGTGGAGGCCCTAGGTTCAATCCCCCGCACCACCGCTCAAAATCCGCGGGGTTATGAGGGTGGGCGGAGTCCCCTGGGTATCATTCTCCGTATGCCAGAAGGGGTGCAGGGGCATCTGCCTATAAAGAGAATGTCCAAGTGTGCTCCAAAGCAGTGAAGGGTACGGCACAGAAAGCATTCGCAGCGCAGGCCCCCAAAGTGGGACTCCAAGCACCCCTCTGGCTTGGCTCTGCGCGATCTGTGGGGCGCAACTGCCGCACTCACCTCACCCAAGTCCTCCCAAGCTAGGACCTTTGACACCTACCAGAGGCGCGAAGTGAGGGAAACCGGAAGTCAAGGCGGCCCACCACGCAAGCACACTTTTGACGGTTCTCGCGGTGGGGACCGTCCGCCAGGCCCACAGGCCTACCTCCGGGACTGGCCCCGCTACGAACGGAAGCGTCCCGAGCCGGATGCGGAAGGCGGGGCGCGCCGACGAGCCCCGGGACGGCAGGCGCGCGGATGGGAACGTGCCGGGGGCCGGCGCGCACGTGCCTGAAGCGCCCCCACTTCCGGCAGCGAGGCCAAGGATTCCGAGTGTATGAGGACCGGCAGCGGCGGAGGGGGCGGTGGAGGCGTGGGTGGGGACGGGGGCGGGATACGCTCCCCGGCCCCTCTAGCCCCGTGGAGGTACAACTCGAAGGAGGGGTAGGCCACGAGAAACCGGAACTGCAGAGCGCCAGGAACCGGGCCCACTTCCGCCAGAGGCGGGTCGTAGGCGGGAAGACCGGCAGGAGGAATTTGGCCCGCCCCGTCGTGACACCGGCACCGCCTCACGTCTCTGTGACGTCACGGCGCTGTCACTCTGCCCCACGTGACTCGGGCGTAGGGTCCTGCACTGTAGAGGTCGCAACTTGCAACCTCAAGCCAGGAGGCAGGCGCCTCTACTGTATATTTTCAGCCCGGGTATGGTTTCCCAGAAAGGCAGGATCAAGGACCAGGCTCAGAACTGTTTCCTTTCCGCTGGCCGACCTGATCCCAACCAGGATCCTGGTCCTGCGTGGTACTTACCCTGGATCCCAGCTCACCGCGTCCTCGCTCCCCGTGCCAGCGGTTGGAACTCGGGATGCCCGGCGTCTCCGCCCGGAGCCTCTCCCTCGAGGAGCGGAGGCAGCTAGCTGTGAACCTCACCCGCGTCCTGGCCCTGTACCGTTCCATTCTGGACGCCTACATCATCGTGAGGCCACAGGGTCGTGGGCGGGCTGCTTCTGGTCGTGTGGTTGTCTGGGTGCGCATGATAGGGAATTTACCTTTGATCTTTCTTCTCTTGTATTTTAAGTCATTCCAGAAGAAAGGTTAAAAAGAGTGTGATTCCAAAAAAAAAAAAAAAAAAAAAAAAGGAGTGTGATTCCCTTTTTCCGGAATAGGTTGTTTTCTAACTTTCTCAGAACCCAAAGTAATAAGAGCATGATTGGTTGGTTTTGAGACAAGGGCTCGCCATGCAGTTCAGCCTGACCTTTGAATTTACTATGCAAGGGCTGGAGAGATAGCTCAGTAGAATAAGTGTTTGCTGGGCAAGCACAAGGTCCTGAATTCAACCCCCAGTATGGAAAATAAATAAATAAATAAAGTTATGATGAATTTGCTATGCAAACTAGGCTGGCTTCAAACTCGACACAATCCTCTTAGCTTTCAAGTGCTGCGATTACAAAGGCGCACCTCCACACTCCAACAAAACATGGACTTTTGAGTTGTCTTGCAGTTAACATTGACCTCTCCTAGGATTATATGAGGTGTTCTAGTAAAAAACGTATTCATTCATCCTAACTCATTTTGTTTTATTGTGGACAGTTTAGCATTAGAATCTTGCCTCCACTACTGTGTTAATAGAGGTTCTACCCTCCACCATTTGCTCCAGTCCCTAGTTTCAACTATAAAATGGGTCCCTATCTGAAGTATCATTGCTAACAATAAAGGAGATAATATTTAAATGGCTGAATTACTCAGGCTGAATTATTGAGACTAAAGGATTCAGATACAAAGCCCAGAAGCCATCCTTCAACTTTCTTTATCCACAGTCCAGTTCTTCAAGTCCTTTTGGCTTTAGCTTCATATTAAACCCCAAATTAATTAGTCTTAATCTCCCTTGCTACCTCCATAGGCCAAGCCACCATCATCTTCCCTAATCTACCTACTCTGTTTACTAATGTCTGTCTGTAACCAGTGTATCGCTTGAGCAGCCAGCAGCCAGATTGATGTCAAATTTCATTTTCTTCCCACATTCACTCTGCTATATTTACACTGGCCTGATTTCTGTCACACAAATATGGCAGGTGTCTGGGCCTTTGCATTTATTGATCTGCCAGGAATAATCTTCCTCCACTGAAAGGCAATAGAGCAGATCGGTTAAAAACAAGGATTTGAATGAAATAGGTTTCATGTTCCAGCTCTTCTGTTTAGTAGCCTCCCTCCCCACCCCTGCCTTGGTACCAGGGATCAAACTCAGGACCTTGTGGTTGTCAGGCATGTGCGTATGCCACTGAGCTTTCTCCCCAGGCCTTTCCAGCTTTTTGAATTGGGCCAGTAATTCAATTGTTGTCTTAGTTTCATCTGTAAAATTGGAGCTAAAAATATAGTCCATATCATAGAGTTGTTTATTAAGTGCATTCCTACTTTTTTTTTTTTTTTGGTGGAACCTGGGATTGAACTCAGGCCCTTGCGCTTGCCAGGCAAATGCTTATTCTACTGAGCCATCTCCCCAGCCCCATGCATTCCTATATTGTCAGATGTTTACAACAGTGCCTAGCATGGAAAGTATTGTGTGAGTGAATATTTGCTATTGCTGGTATTTTCTTGGGGAGGTTACTAAGGGTTTGAACTAAGAGCCTTCATATTAAGCTAAATTCCCAGCCCTTTTTGTCTGTATTTTAAATTTTTTATTAGTACATGTTAACAGTGCATAATGATTACTTTCATCACAGGGGCTTGGTACATGTACATATCCTAATTCTTCACCCCATCTCTCCATCTGCTTCCATCTCTCGGTCCCCATCTCTCGGTCCCCTTCCCATTTACAAAAGAGCTCTTTGTTTTCTGTTACCTGTCTTTTGTTTTGCTTTTTATGTATACATTAGGTTTCTCATGGAGGAACCATGTGATATTTAAACTTGTGTGCTAGTTTATTTCATTTAACATTATGGTCTCAAGATGTATCCGCTTTCCTAGAAATGACATATGTATCCTTTATAGCAGAACAGTATTCCATTGTGTATAGCACCACATTTCCTTTATCCATTCATCTGTTGATAGACACGTAGGCTGCTTCCAAGATTTAGCAATTATTATGAATCATGCTGCTATAAACGTGGATATACATATATCACTTTAATGGGTTTTTAAAAAATTCTTGAGAACATACCCAGAACAGGAGCTATCATCCCATTTTCTGATGTCCTTTTTATCTTTTTCAGACTACTTTAGATCAGATTAATTCCTGTAAGTATTTAATTTTTCTTAAAGCTGTTGTGGAAGATGTTGTTTTCCTGATTTCTTTCTTGGTGGGTACAGGAATCCTATTGTGGTATTTTTTAATTTTGTTTTTTGAGACAGGGTCTTGCTTTGTAGTTCAGACTCACCCTAAGCTCTCTATGTAGCCCAAGCTGGCCTCAAATTCATAGGGATCCTCCTCCCTCAGCCTCTCGAGTGCTGGTACTATGGACATGTGCCACCACGCCAGGCTGGAATCCTATTGATTTTTGTGTGTTGATGTGTATCCTGCCACCTTGCTGAATTTTTTCAGTTCTAGAAGTCTTGGTAGAATTGTTTGAGTCTTCTATTTAAAGGGTCTTCTATTCATGTCATCTGTGAATATAGTTTGACTTCTTCCTTTTGTATACATATTCTCTTTCTCTTGTCTGATTGTGCTGGCTGATGCCTTAAGTACTGTATTGGACAGGAGTGGTGTTACTGGACATCCTTGTTTTGTTCCTGATTTTAAAGGACAGGCTTTCATTTTTTCCTTATTTAATATGATGTTGGTATCAGTAGGTGTGTTGGCACATGATTATAGTCCCAGTATTTGGGAGGCTGAGGCAGGGGGATGGCTGTGAGTTCAAGGCCAGATTGGGCTACAAAGTGAGCTCCGGGCCAGCCTGAACTACACAGCAAGACCCTGTCTCAAAAAGAATGGGGGGGGGGAAGCGATGGGGGCTGGGGAGATAGCTTAGTTGAATAAGCACTTGCCTGGCAAGTGCAAAGGCCTGAGTTCAATTCCCAGCTCTGCAAAAAAAAAAAAAGAAAAAAAGAAAAGGGCTGGTGAGATGGCTCAGTGGTCTAAAGCACCTACTTAGAACAAGCTTAGCAAAGCACAGGGACTGCGGTTCAATCCCCCAGCACCACATGCCAGCCAGCCCAGCCCCCTGGTGGGCTGAGCTGGCCACACACATACACACACAAATGAATAAATAAAATAAATAAATTAAAAAAAAAAAAAAGAACAAAGGCCGGCCTGATAGCTCAGCAGACTAAAGCACCTACTTAGGCAAAGTGCAGTGGCTGGGGTTCAATCCCGGAAGTGCTGTGTGGACCCTGCCTATGGGGCACACTGAGATAGCAATTGAGACCGGGTATGGTGGCGTTCACATGTTATCCCAGCACTTGGGAGGCTGCAAACAGGAGAATCACTAGGAGTCTGATCTACATAGTGAGACCCTGTAGACCCTGTACTAAATACAGAAAAAAAAAAGAACAACAGCAGCATATATATATATGCTCTCCCCCTTTTTTAAGACAGAATCTTGGGGGCCAGGGAGATGGCTCAGTGAAATAAGCGCTTTGGCAAGGGCAAAGGTCTGAGTTCAAAACTCAGGCTCCACCAAAAAAAAAAAAAAAAAAGGCAGAATCTTACTATATAGTTCTGGCCAGACTTGAACTCACTGTGTAGTCCAGGCTGGCCTCAAACTCAGATGATCCTCCTGCCTCACCTGCCGAGTGCTGGGATTACAGGTGTGTCATCATGCCCAGCCCTTTTTTTTTTTTTTTTTTTAATTAATGTATTTGGTACAGGGTCTTACTATACAGCTTGGACTTGCAGTGATCCTCTTTTCAGCCTCCCCAGCACTGGGATTATAGGTGTGTGCCACCATGCCCAGTCTTGGCGACTCAGCACAGCCAGGGGCGGGGCGAGGGCAGCATGTGGTGGGATCTTACCTGGTCCCTGCACTTGCTTAAGCAGGCCCTTGTTTTGTTTTTGAGTCAGGGTCTCACTTTGTAACCCAGGCAAGTCTTGAACTATGGCAGTTAGGCTGTTATCACCCTCGTGAGCACTAGTATTACAGGTGTGCACTACCACACCTGTTTGTTTGTTTTTCTTTCTGGTACTGGGGACTGAACTGAGTACCTATACCACCGAGCTGTTGTATTTTCTTTACATGACTGATTCCTGTTGATCATTCAAGTCTTAGCCAGTGTCTTAGCTCCTCTGCCAAGTCTTCCCTTACCACTCTATTTGATGTAGTTCTCAAATAAACTCTGTATTGCATTACTTTCTTGAGTGTTGTACTGTCAGTGGTATTTGGTACTAGCTGAAGTGATTTTATTTTATTACTTTGCATAGCTGAGGATCAAAATTCAGGGCCTCGCTGGGCTATGAGGGTGCACGCCTGTAATCCCAGGGTTCCAGAGGCTGAGTCGGGAGAATTGTTGTAAACTCAAAACCAGCCTAGGCTACAAAGTGAGCTCAAGGTCAGCCTGAACTGCATAGCGAGGAAAAAAAATTAAGCGCCTCACACTGAGAAAGCACCCTACCAGCACTACATTCCTAGTGTGTGATTTTTTTTTTTTTTTTTTT